TGTCCTCCATCACAGTGTCCCCATACATCAGGTGTCCCCATCACAGTGTCCACATACATCAGGTGTCCTCCATCACAGTGTCCCCATACATCAGGTGTCCCCATCACAGTGTTCCCATACATCAGGTGTCCCCCATCATCCCATGTCCCCATACATCAGATGTCCCCATGCCCCTTTACAGGTGTCTCCATCACAGTGTCCCCATACATCAGGTGCCCCCCATCACAGTGTCATACATCAGGTGTCCTCCATCACAGTGTCCCCATACATCAGTGTCCCCATCACAGTGTCCCCATACATCAGGTGTCATCACAGTGTCCCCATCACAGTGTTCCCATACATCAGGTGTCCCCCATCATAGTCCCCATACATCAGATATCCCCATGCATCCTCCATCACAGTGTCCCCATACATCAGGTGCCCCCCATCACAGTGTCATCATACATCAGGTGTCCCTATTATAGTGTCCCCATACATCAGATATCCCCATGCATCAGGTGTCTCCATCACAGTGTCCCCATACATCAGGTGTCCCCATCATAGTGTCCCCATATATCAGATATCGCCATACATCAGGTGTCCCCATCACAGCGTCCCCATACATCAGATGTCCCCATTACAGTGCCCCCATATATCATATCAGATATCGCCATACATCAGGTGTCCCCCGTACATCAGGTGTCCCCATCACAGTGCCCCCATATATTAGATATCGCCATACATCAGGTGTCCCCATCACAGTGTCCCCATACATCAGGTGTCCCCATCACCCATCACAGTGCCCCCATATATCAGATATTGCCATACATCAGGTGTCCCCATCACAGCGTCCCCATACATCAGGTGTCCCCATCACATATCCTCTTACATCAGAGTTGTGTCCCCCCCTCCCTTCCCTCTTGTATTCACAGCCACCTACAATTAAGATAGCTCCTCCTTCTTTCCCCTTGCTGAGTCAGAGATGAGTCTCAGTGCAGTTTTCTTCTGCCCCCTGCAGGAGGGAGGACAAAGCTGAATCCTGTCTCCTGGTCATTCTTGTCACCAGCGGCCAAATTGCCAGTGAACCCCCCAACACAGCGCCCGTCCCCCGATCATAGCCCCCCATGCACCTGGGGCCCCCCTGGGTAGTGCCAAGGTGTGCTCATTCATTAAGATGACCCTGCTATGACATAAAAGGATTTTGGTTCTGTAGTCTACATAGATAGACGGTAACAATGTTACTGATAACAGTCAGCACAGGACGTTCTGGCAGGATCAACAGGCATTTTTCTGCACTTATATATAACAAAGTACTATCCATGGTACTTTTAATGGACCAAAAGGGGACAACTAAGTTCACTGCTAGGGTGTACTTCAAGTATTTGTGTATTCGGAATTGTGAAGCCACAGGGGGGTTGTGACACCATCACTTGGCTTTGTCTTAGCCAAGGCAGCAGCTGGATGGAGCCGGAACTCTGATGGAAAGATTTATCCACTGGAGAGCAATGAGAAGCCGCTATGTGATTCAACCTGCCAGCGGCCAGGCAAAAGGAATACATTACAGAGAGAGGCGTGATTCCTCCCGATCCTCCTGTATGTCTATCTGCTCACTGGGATCAAAGCTGTGTGAAAAGAAAAATCCCAAAACTACCCCCCAAGAGTATAGGAGGAACCCTCCCGTACTTTGACTTACCTTCACGGGTCGGCTCCTCTATCCGGATCCTCACCTCAGCCTCTGTGAATATAATAGGCAGGCACTGGCCACGCCCTAGAGGTACCTACAAGCTGCTAGACACACCCCCGCCTCCATGTGACAACACTCAGGCCACTAAATCTTTGAAAAGGTGTGGCATGTGTTGTCTCATTGATGAAAGCAGCGGGATATGTAATAGGTTGAAGTACAGATTAGGCAGGAAAGGAAAATCAGTTCAGGAATCCTTCTATACACTGGGGGGGGGGGGGTTAGGTTTATTTCTTAAATCCCACCTCTGGCCTTCCCTCCAGTCTGGCACAGTTGTACCGGCTCCTCTCCTGGACTGAAATGGCTTACTATGATTTTACTGCATCCTGTGAGCTTCTCAAATGTGCATTAGAACCTGCAGCAAGTCAGATAGAGCTCCGCCTCATGTCCTGGCTGGAAGCCGTCCAGCATCATCTAGCACTTTCCTCCCCAACATGACTGTCCCTGGCCCCGCCCCTTTCAATCTTTGGATTTCAATCATGGAGGATCAGCATCACAGTATGTCTACTCAAGTCTGACACCCACCCATCAAGGCATGTTGATATTTGCATAACTCCTCCCAAGAGCCAGCCCACTGCTTGCATCATGTCTGAGGGCTCTTCAGAGGAGTACTGAGGCAGGGGTCTGTGGTGTTTTCAGGAAGCTATGTACAGCACCTTGCTGGCTCCTCCCAGCAGCCATGATCTGCCTGTATTGCATAGAGAAGTACAGAAACGCAGTGATGATATCACTAGATATAAAATAAGGTATGTAATGTACGCTACTGTTTTGGTTAGTATGGAGAAGAGTTAAAATATCCTTCAGGTTTTTATTTTTGCTTGTGAGTTTTTTCCCTTACTTCCTGTGAAACTTATACAAGGATTGGGTGGTGGGGGGAGGAGTGTTTGCCACCAGGGTATGAGGGCAGCAAAAGAACATTACCAGACGTTCAGAAAGCCAGAGCCAAAAACTGCCAACATTCTATACAAAAGAAAACAAAATGTTTGACCTAGAGTTGGGCTTTAAAGTGTTACTAAACCTAGGACCCTGCATTCACTATATCTGGTCTCCCCGGACCCTGCATTCACTATATCTGGTATCCCCGGACCCTGCATTCACTATATCTGGTCACCCTGGACGCTGCATTCACTATATCTGGTCTCCCCCGGACCCTGCATTCACTATGCATCACTATATCTGGTCTCCCCGGACCCTGCATTCACTATATCTGCTCTCCCCGGACTCCTGCAATCACTATATCTGGTCTCCTAGGACCCTGCATTCACTATATCTGGTCTCCCCGGACCCTGCATTCACTATATCTGGTCTCCCCGGACCCTGCATTCCGCTATATCTGGTCTCCCAGGACCCTGCATTCACTATATCCGGGACCCTCTCATATATCTGCCCCCCCCGGACTCTGCAATCACTATATCTGGTCTCCCTGCACCCTGCATTCACTATATCCGGTCTCCCCGGACCCTGCATTCACTATATCCGGTCTCCCCCGGACCCCGCATTCACTATATATCTGGTCTGCTCCCCGGACCCTGCATTCACTATATCCGGTCTCCCGGACCCTGCACACTATATGCAATTCACTATATCCGGTCTGGTCTCCCCGGACCCTGCATTCACTATATCTGGTCTCCCCAGACTCTGCATGCACTATATCTGGTCTCCCACAGTACACACAACATGAAAATGTAATTATTTTAGTAAACATAAACTGCTAAATACTTTTTTTCATTAGCAGTATATAGCAGTCTTGTGATTTCTATCAGTGTCTAGCAGAGCTTTTTAAGTTGTAGAAGGAGTTTCATTCTCTCCTGATTGTCCTATGAGGCTGCAAGACCCCTGACCGTCTGTCTGGACAGTGCTGATCATATGCACTCTCCCAAAAAAAAAAAAAAAACATTTCCAGCAATACACACCAAACTGAGAATGTGCAGCTTTCCCCCAAGGCTCTGTTTTATCAGCAGATGGATGGGGGACAATAGAAGAAGGGAAGATCAGAAAAGACAGGATTAAACAGACTTTTAAAATACCTTTTCTCATCAGCAGTTAGAGCAGTCTTGTGATTTCTATCAGTACAAGAAATGGCCACTGCCCCAGTCTATAACTGTCCTTCACAGCAAGGAGCACATAGAAGGGCGACGCATGGCAAACAACAAAAGAGAAACATTCCCGGTTCTAACTTGCCAGCCAGCCTGCAAACAAACCGAATCAACCTTTCCAACAATTAAAAACAGGGGTTTAGTTAGCACACATTTGCAAACACATGCGTAAGCTGCAGAGCCTCGTCATGGCACCCCGATATTCTGTAGTTCCTAACTCTACAATTTTAATACTTCTATCAGTGTCCAGCCCAGCACTAGCTAAAGCTTGTAGGAAGAGTTTTCTTTCTGCTCTAAAAGGATGCAGAACCCCTGACCTCTGTCTGGACAGTGCTGATTTGCTCTATGCTAATCACATGCACTCTCCTAAGAAAAAATAAACCTCTCAAGCAATACACACCAAACTGAGCATGTGCAAAATGCCTACGTTTAGTCTGTCTTATCAGGAGATAAGAGGTGGCCTGTTGAAAAAGGGCAGGAACAGAGAAGACAGGATCAAAAGGTAGTTTTACAAAATGCAGAGGATTAACCCCTTAGGTTCCACAGTGAGTATAACAAGCATGCTTTCCCTGCATATACAGACTTTAAGCTTTCTATCACACCAAGGTCACCCCGGCACCCCGAAGAGGAAGAAAATCTCCACCATTTTGCGCACCTAAACTTTCGGCTCCAGAATTCTGTTGCAGAAGATTGAATCTGTCCCTCATACCTTCAACTTGGTGAGTTTTCCATAGAAAGAATGTAAACTTCAGCTCAGCAATGAGGCAGCAAGTCAGCGCACGCCGTTGGCAGGCAGGAACCTGCGGCGGATGATCGCATCCCTGCGGACTGCAAGGCATTTCAGCAGATAACGGGTGACGTCTCCGAGGCCATGAAATGTTCTTAATGAAAAGCAGCTACAGGATTGAACTGGAACTCCGAATACAATTCTGAACTTATTTTGAGAGTTCTATGTCCTCCCGATGGATGGAGATGGCTGAGAGGATGCCTGGATGAGTGTGGAGGATCTAGCGGAGCGCCCACTCCAGGATCTACACCCTTCTATGTCCATGTGTCAATGGCAACGTCAGGTTTCATTTCGGTAAGACTTCCTCCAATCAGGAGTACGAGGGCCACATCATTTATTTCACAAATATTCGTGGAACAAAAATGTATCAGGGTGCTCCTTTACATCAGGGTCCCCATCAGAGTACCCCTTTACATCAGGGTCCCTATCTGAGTGCCCCTTTACATCAGGGTCCCCATCAGAGTGCCCTTTTACATCAGGGTCCCCATCAGAGTGCCCCTTTACATCAGTTGTCCCCATCAGAGTGCCCTTTTACATCAGGGTCCCCATCAGAGTGCCCCTTTACATCAGGGTCTACATCAAGGTCCCCATCAGAGTACCGCTTTACATCAGGGTCCCCATCAGAGTGCCCCTTTACATCAGGGTCCCCATCAGAGTGCCCCTTTACATCAGGGTCTACATCAGGGTCCCCATCAGAGTGCCCCTTTACATCAGGGTCCTCATCAGAGTGCCCCCTTACATCAGGGTCCCTATCAGAGTCCCCTTTACATCAGGGTCCCCATCAGAGTGCCCCTTTACATCAGGGTCTACATCAGGGTCCCCCATCAGAGTGTCCCTTTACATCAGGGTCCCCATCAGAGTGCCCCTTTACATCAGGGTCTACATCAGAGTGCCCCTTTACATCAGGGTCCCCATCAGAGTGCCCCTTTTCATCAGGGTCCCCATCAGAGTGCCCCTTTACATCAGGGTCTACATCAGGGTCCCCATCAGAGGGCCCCTTTACATCAGGGTCTACATCAGGGTCCCCATCAGAGTGCCCCTTTACATCAGGGTCCCACCAGAGTGCCCCATTACATCAGGGTCCCTATCAGAGTCCCCTTTACATAGGGTCCCCATCAGAGTGCCCCCTTTACATCAGGGTCCCCATAAGAGTGCCCCTTTACATTAGGGTCCCTATCAGAGGGGCCCCTTACATCAGGGTCCCCATCAGAGCCCCCTTATATCAGGGTCCCTATAGGAGTCCACCTTTACATCTAGGTCCCCATAAGAGTCTTCCTTTCATCAGGGTTCCATTGAGAGTCCTCCTTAGATCAGGATCCTTTTCACAGCCCCCTTTACATCAGGGTCCCCATCAGAGTCCCCCCTTACATCAGGGTCCCTATCAGAGTCCCCCCTTACATCAGGGTCTCCATCAGGATCTTCATCAGAGCCCCCTTATATCACCGTCCCTATAGGAGTCCACCCTTACGTCCGGTTCACCATCAGAGTCCTCCTTTCATCAGGGTTCCATTCAGAGTCCTCCTCAGATCAGGGTCCCCTTCACAGCCCCCTTACATAAGAGTCCCCATCAGAGTCCCCCTTACATCAGGGTCCCCCTTTCATCACGGTCTCCATCAGAGTCCTCCTTACACCAGGGTCCCCATTAGAATCCCCCTTTCATTGGAGTTCCCATCCAAGTCCTCCATAGATAAGGGTCCCCTTCACAGCCCTCTGATATTAGAATCCCCTTACAACAGGGTCCCTATTATATTTGGGTCCTCATCCAGAGTCTTCTCTTTATAAGGTTTCCCATCAAAGTCCTTCCTTACATGAGGGTCCCCATCAGAGTTCTCCTTTACACCAGGATCCCCATCAGAGTCCTTCCTTACACCAGGGTCCCTATCAGAGTCCCGATACATCAGGGCCCCCATCAGTGTCTTTCCTTGCATCATGGTCCCCATCAGAGTCCCCATCTCATAAGGGTCTCCGTCAGAGTCCCCCCCCGTACATCAGGGTCCCCATCAGAGTCCCCCCTTACATCAGGGTCTCTATCAGTGTCTCCCTTTCATCAGGATCTCCATCAGAGTCCCCTTATATCAGGGTCCGTATAGGAGTCCACCCTTACATCTGAGTCCCCATTAGAGTCCCCTCTTACATCAGGGTCTCATCAGGGCCCCCCTACAACAGGGTCCCTATTAATTAAGGGTCCCCATTAGAGTGCCCTTATATCAGAGTCCCTGTTCCATGGCAGTTTTGACATGGGGACCACAGGCAGCCTCTGCTGGCCTTAATCCTCAGTCACTGGATATGCCACTGACTGTAGCTGCGGGCTGGAAAAAGCCTTGCAGTGGGCTGGATGTGGCCCCCGGGTCATAGTTTGGAGGCCCCCTGCTCTACTTCATAATGTTTTTATGACTATTGGAATATACACTCAATACCCAAGACCAGGGGCGGACTGACAACTCATGGGGCCCCAGGGCAATAGGGGATCCTGGGGTCCCTGTGTCCTTGCCTAAACTCAAAAAAGCCTATGAAAAAGGTACCAGCGGCATCTCATGGGGCCCCCTACTGACCCCGGGCCCTTGGGCAGCGCCCGAGTTTCCAAATGGTCAGTCCGCCCCTGCCCAAGACAGATACATAATCAGAGTGGTCTATTTCATCCAGTGAATCTGAATGTACATTTGTTCTGCAACAATGAACATTCTCTAAGCTGTTTTCTCTTCTGGTCTAATGTTGCTTTATTATGAGCCGTAAAATTCCTAAATATGGCCAATAGATGGAGCCGAAGAGCACAGTTTTGAACCGAGAGCTACCGAAACAATCCTAGAGAACGCTAGAGGGAATTAGTGAATAACTGTCACCAATGGCTACATTGTGTGTTTTGTTACAAAGACGCATCTCCAATGCTCCTCAGCTTCATCTAGTGGCCACAATGCAGGGTTTTACTACTGCATTTGCATTGGCTATGCAAAGTTTTTATAAATAGACTATGTCTATACTTTTTTCCAGTGTTTATTGCTGTGCTTTTGAGCCGTGTGTTATTTATTACATATTGTTGGAACATGGTGGGGTTTTTTTTATTCAAAACTGAAACAATTATTAAAACATAAAATGCAGAATTTAGTTTAAATCTGTAAAAAAAAGCCCCTGCAAAATCACTAAATATTTTCTTTGACTTCCCCACATGAGAGAACAGTTTAGAAGCAAACCCCATACCTGACACCCTCCAAACCTTTTTGTATGTGACCACCTCCCCCCCCCCAAAAAAAAAAGTAAATTTCCATACTTTCCGGGTGCAGTGGAAAGTGTTCTGATTTATTAAAGTGTTCCCATCATTAGGTCCATCACTAAAATCTCTTAGATGCTTCAACATATTATATTAATATGATTTGTAAATCTGCAACTTCCATTAAAATAACCCCTGGTGATCCTGCCATGAAGGTCCCTGTTCAGGCACTTCCTGTTATAGGGTGACAACGCTCTGTCACTGTCTCCCTTTTGAGCTCCAGTGTTGTCACCCTGTCACTTAGGCTACCAGTGGTGACAGCGCCATGGATAAGGGGGGGTACCACCAGTGCTCCTGTACAGGGCTCAGGCCAGCAGGAGGGCCCAGGTAACTGGGTGAATCGGATGTGGACAGGAAGGGTGATCGGCACAGTGGGGGGCAATTACTGGAACTGATCCCCTGTTCGGCTCTCTCTGCAGCAGCTGCAAGCTGGCTTCTTCTCCTCTTCCTCCCGCTGGCTTTCAGCTGCTGCAGAGAGAGCCCTACAGGGGAACGGTTCTAGTAACTGCCCGCCTGCCGCACCCATTACCCTCCCTGTGCACCATACGTTTCCCCCCTGCTGCCCAGGCCCCCATGTGTGCCCACCCCTGCCAGTTTCTCTCCTCTCCTTTCCACAGGCGACTGCAAGAACACAATAGGATCCTTCGGAATGGAGAGTGGGTGAAAGGACCTGTAAATATGTCATGTTTACTAGCTCCGAATGAGCACAATGAGTGATTGGTACTAATCACGCACTGTGCTCATTCATAACCGAAGCATAGTAAACTTTGTTGTTTTTTTGGGGGGGGCCTGTCAGGTTGGCTGTATGGGCCCTGTGGTTTTCAACAGCAGCTCTGACAAATGGGAACTACAAATGGCCATTTCAAAGCATTGCACTGGTCCACCACTGTCACCACCGGACAAATTCCATACGGCTAATGCTGGAGTACATGTGGGTATGAAGTGGCTGCAAAGAGGCTGCAGATGATCAGCAACTCGAATGCATTTATTAATAAGAAACAACAGTTGTTTATAGGGTTTATTTTTTATTGATAATGGACTTATGTCATCTCTTCAGTTTAAAAGGAAATTCTGCTTAATCGGGAGCTCAGTATAAGTACTCTGCTTCCGGCTAAGTAGCTACTGAGATAGGATATCCTCCACACAGGGGGGGCATTGTTTTCAGTGGGTCGGTGGACTCATAGACTTGCATTGTGGGAAGGAGGAGTAATGCACCACCATTGTGAAACTCCGCAAAGTAGGAAGCAGAGGCTGTAAATGTAATAAGCAAATGTGATTGCCTCTATTTGCATAAATAATTGCAGACTATAAAAAAACGGGTCTCTTTTATGTAAAGAAAGACTTTGAAGAGACCGAACATTCTCTTTAAAGTAAACCTGGAACTCTACCCTCCCTTACAAGGATATTATTTTATTTTATTTCAAGTACTTATATAGCGCCGTCAGTTTACACAGCACTTTACATATATATTGTACATTCACATCAGTCCCTAACCCTCAAGGGGTGTGCAATCTAAGGTCCCTAACTCACATTCATACATACACATACTAGGGCCAATTTTATACAGGAGCCAATTTGTTTGTGTGGTGTGTTTGATGTTGTGTGGTGTTTGTAGTGTGTGTGTGTGTGTTTTTGTGTGTTGATTTGTTTGTGTTTTGTGTTTTTTTTTTTTGTTGTGTTGTTTTTGTTTTGTTTTGTGTGTTTTTTTTGTTGTGTTGTTTGTGTTTGTTTTGTTTTTGTTTTTTGTGTTTTTGTTGTGTGTATGTTTGTGTTTTGTGTTGTGTTTTTTTTGTTTGTGTGTGTGTGGTGTTGTTGGTGTTTTGTGTGTTGTTTTGTTGTTTTTTTTTGTGTATATTTGTGTTGTTTTGTTTTGTGTATGTGTTGTGTGTTTTTGTGTGGTGGTTTTGTTGTGTTGTGTTTTTTGTATGTTGTTTGGATTGTTGTGTGTTTTGTTGTTGTTGTATTTTTGGGTTTTTGTTTGTGTGTTGTTTGTTTTTTTTGTCTATTTTTTGGTTTTGTTTTGTTTTATTTTTTTTTTTTTGTGTTTGTTTTTTGGTGTTGTTGTTTGTGTTTTGTTTTTTTGTTATGTGTGGGTATGTATGTTTGTTTGTGTTTGTGTGTGTGTTTATATGTGTGTTTTTTTTGTTGTGTGTATGTATGTCTGTGTGTGTGTGTTGTATGTAGTTGTGTTGTGTGTTGTGTGTGTGCATGTATGTCTGAGTTGTGTGTGGTGTTTTTGGGGAGGGGGGGCTGAGTTTCTTTGTAAGTTCAGTATGCGGAGTGATGTTTTTGTGTAATACTTTCAGGTGTGAATTATCTCTCACATAGATCACAGGGAGGAGACTGGGAAATGCTTCCTCTGGCCTGCAGCAGACAGCTGTCATCATCTCAGCCTAGGCAAAGTCAAAGGTTTCTCCTTTACCCCCCTCATCAACCTGTTTTTTTTTTTACATCATTACTGGGTCTCTGTGCTTCTCAATGCACGCAGATCATAGCTGGTGGGAGGGACCGGCTGTACGAAGCTTCCTAAAAGCATCACAGCACCCTGTCCTATGAAGAAGGTTAAAAAGGCTGAGAAAAGACTCTTTTCTGGTTATTAGTTCTGTAACACTTGACAGGAAGTCAATAGAAGAGCCAACGCGTTTCAGGGGTCAGATGTCTCCCTTCATCAGGGCTTGATTTCTGGCTGTGAGATCAAGAAGAATACTGGACAATTTGCTGCAAAGTACAGGGAATCCAGATTCTGGTCAGGCAGAATTGCTCTTAGAAATCCCCAGCGTCAGTGCAAGCGAAATGTCAAAATGCCTCGATGGGCATTGGTCAGTGTGGAGGAGTGGGCGTTCCTAAGCAGGCTGTATTTTCACACAGGCAACGCCCACATGTGATGCTGAGCCTCCACGAATGAAAGAACTAAAATCTAATGAATGAAAGGGGCGGGGCCAGGGACAGGCAGCCTGGGGAGGAAAGGCTAGATGATGCTGGACGTCCTCCAGCCAGGAAATGAGGCAGAGCTCTATCTGACTTGCTGCAGCTTCTAATGCACATTGTGAAAAGCTCACAGTGTGCAGTGAAATCAGAGGAAGCCATTTCAGTCCAGCAGAGGAGCCGGTACAACTGTGCAGGACTGAAGGGAAGG